CCTGGAGAAGAGAAGGCTCCGGGGAGACCTTCTAGTGGCCTCCCAGTACCTGAAGGGGCTCCAGGAAGGGTGGGGAGGGACTTTGGCCAAGGGCAGGGAGGGACACAACAAGGGGTGATGGCTTGAAAGTGTCAGAGGGGAGATGGAGCTGAGATGTGAGGAAGAAATTCTTTGGTGTGAGGGTGGTGAGACAGTGTCCCAGGTTGTCCAGAGAAGCTGTGGCTGCTCCTCCCTGGAAGTGTTTAAGGTCAGGTTGGATGAGGCTTTGAGCAACCTGGTCTAGTGGAAGGTGTCCCTGCTGCTGGCAGGGGGGTTGGGACTGGATGGGCTTGAAGGTCCCTTCCAACCCAAACCCTTCAATGATTCTGTGATTACTGCTCACAATTGTTCTTTTAATTTTCTTTTTCATTTTGCAATAATGAACCTGCTGTTTGATTTAAGTCCTAGAACAGAAAAGATACCGTGTGAAAAATGAACCTGTAAAAAATCCTACTGTAGTCAGGCAGTGACTCCACAAGCTGCCTCAGCCAGCCAGCAAAATATTATGAGCCTACGATGTACACCTGTGATGGGATGGGAGATGCAGAGGGCATCTGGAGCCTTTTCCTCAATAAGTGGGTGAGAAACCAGTGGGTTTCCTCCTGCTTTGCAGGTCTAGGAAGGAGGCAGAGATAGGCCGTGTGTTACAGCCCAGCAGGTGAGCTGTGTCTCTGATGGACACGGCCGTCTTCAAGCCTGGGATGTCCCATCCAGCTGTAAATTGGCTGCTGAGCACCTGTAACATCCAACTGAATAGATGATGGCCTCTCACTCCAAGAAGGACATGGAGGTGCTGGAGTGTGTCCAGAGAAGGGCAACGGAGCTGGGGAAGGGTCTGGAGCACAAGTGTGCTGAGTTCCCTTGTGGCTGAGGGAACTGGGGGTGTTGAGCCTGGAGAAAAGGAGGCTGAGGGGAGACCTTGTGTCTCTGTGCAAGTCCCTTGGAGGAGGGTGGAGAGAGGTGGGGGGGGGTCTGTTCAACCAAGGACCAAGGGACAGGACAAGAGGAAATGGGCTCCAGTTGTGGCCAGGGCAGTTGAGATGGGATGTGAGGAAGAATTTCTTTGCTGCAAGGGTTGTCAGGCATTGGAAGGGGTTGTCCAGGGCAGTGGTGGAGTCCCCATCCCTGGAGGGATTGAAGAGTCGTGTAGACATAGTGCTGAGGGACATGGGTTAGTCATAGGGACTGGTCAGTGTTGGGTTCATGGTTGGACTCGATGATCTTAAAGGTCTTTTCCCATCCAGGCAGTTCTGGGTTCTGTGAGTGCAGAGCTGCCCTTTAGCTCTGCTGGTGTCTAACCCTCTCTGCCTGTTTTGAAATGACAACTTCTGGACCCGTTCCCAGCCTTAGTCCTTTCCCAGAGGGTTTTTACTCTCTGGTTTTTGGGTTTTTTTTTTTTAAATCTTCAGCAGAATTTCAAGCTCAGCTGAACCTGAGCTTTGCTCAGAGTCCATTTGCCATAACATGCTGAGGACCCTGTCCACAGATGGCTTCTTTTAAGGAGGAACCTGGAGGAGCCATGCAACAGCACCTTCTCCAACTGGGATTTTCTCTCCCAAAAATAAGAATTGCTTTGAAGCATCAGGAGCTGGAGGGACCAAATTCAAAGGGGCCCCTTTGGGGGCGTTTCTAAGCCTCTGAATGAGCTTTAATTGCAGTTTGCAATTTGGAAAAGGGAAGTAATGAGCTTAAACTGTAGCAAGGTGAAGGTAGACATCAGGAGAAGTCTCTGATGGAGGATGGGGAAGTGGTAGAGCTGCCTGGCTGGGAAGGAGGGAGGAAGCCCAGGGTCTGGGGCTTCAGATGTGGGCTAGATGAGCACCTTTGGGGGACATTACAAGAAACATTTGTCCCAATATATGGCCCAGGCTGGGCGGTGGGAGGTGACCCTCTGGGAGATGTGAGTGACTGAGTCTCATTTGGTACAAAAATGGCCTTTCCATCATCGCAGGGAGCTGGGCTGGCTCTGGTCTGACTTTCCTGCTTCTTCAATTTTTCTGACCATTAATTAGAACATAATTAATGGCATGAAGTTCAATAAGGCCAATTGCTGGGTCCTGCACCTGGGTCACAACAACC